CTGGACTTGGAGGTTGTCTGGGAGCTGCCACTGCAATATGACAATGCGGCGCCAGATGTCCTATCGTTTTGAAGATCAAGATGCTTCACCTATGACCTTCCGGGTTACACAATTATAGCATATAGCAACAACCATTCTTATTCAATTTCCCAAATCATACTAAATTCGGTATTTTTTCTATTTTATTTCATTTAATTTTTTGTTTTTTTGCTGTAGATGAATCGGCGATTTTCACGAGTGGAGTCCGGCGCGGACCTGAAGGACTACTTCGATCGCGGCGATATTGCATCGCGAGAGAATCGCTGGAACTTCGAAGTCGCATGGGAGGTGGCCAACAAAGTGGGCGGCATTTACACAGTGATACGCTCCAAGGCGTATGTGTCCACCGAGGAGATGGGCGAGCAGCTGTGCATGATGGGTCCCTATAAGGAGCAGTGTGCACGCACTGAAATGGAAGAAATGGAGTTTCCCCGTGGCAACCCGCTTTTGGATGCGGTCAACGCATTGCGCTCGAGAGGCTATAAAATTCACACCGGTCGCTGGCTCGTCGATGGGAATCCTCAGCTGATACTGTTTGACATTGGCTCTGCCGCATGGAAGCTGGATCAGTTTAAGCTTGAGATGTGGGAGAAGTGCAACATTGGCGTGCCCCATTTAGATATTGAGACGAACGATGCCATCATTTTGGGCTTCATGATTGCCGAGTTTCTCGAGGAGTTCCGCAACTTTGCCATCGCCTACTCCCAAAACAATGAGCTCAGTGCACCGCGCATCGTTGCTCACTTTCATGAGTGGCAAGCCGGCGTAGGCTTGATTGTGTTGCGAACACGACTCGTTGAGATCGCCACCGTGTTCACCACACATGCCACGCTTCTGGGTCGATATTTATGCGCCGGCAACACCGATTTCTACAACAATCTGGACAAGTTTGCGGTGGACGAGGAGGCAGGCAAGCGTCAAATCTATCATCGGTATTGCCTGGAGCGTGGTGCCACGCACCTGGCCCACGTCTTCACAACCGTATCGGAGATCACGGGCTATGAGGCCGAGCATCTGCTCAAGCGCAAACCTGATATAATCACGCCCAATGGCTTGAACGTGAAAAAGTTCTCGGCCATTCATGAGTTCCAGAATTTGCATGCCGTTGCCAAGGAAAAGATCAATGAGTTCGTGCGCGGTCATTTCTATGGGTGAGTCGAAAGTTTGCTGTCGGTGATCTTACTACTTTAATTAATTTATTAAATGAAATTAGTTACATAATTTAATTGAATGCAATTTCTTTTTTCCAGCCACATCGATTTCGATTTGGACAAGACGCTGTACTTCTTCATTGCAGGCCGCTATGAGTTTGGTAATAAGGGCGCTGACATATTCATTGAGTCGCTGGCTCGCCTCAACGCGATGTTGAAGCACGAGAAACCGGACACCACTGTGGTGGCCTTCCTTATCTTTCCCACCAAGACGAACAACTTTAATGTCGACTCACTGCGTGGCCATGCTGTGATCAAGCAGTTGCGTGACACCATCAACAATGTTCAGCAGGCGGTGGGCAAGCGGATGTTCGATACATGCCTTAAGGGTCACATACCCGGCCCCGATGAGCTGCTGCAAAAGGATGATCTGGTTAAGATCAAGCGTTGCATGTATGCTATGCAACGTGATTCGATGCCGCCAGTGACCACGCACAATGTGGCTGATGATTGGAACGATCCGGTGCTGTCCTCGATCCGGCGCTGTCAGCTATTCAACTCGGTTCACGATCGCGTCAAAATGGTCTTCCATCCGGAGTTTCTGACTTCAACAAATCCGCTTTTCGGCATCGACTACGAGGAATTTGTACGCGGCTGTCATTTGGGCGTTTTCCCATCGTACTACGAGCCGTGGGGCTATACGCCAGCCGAGTGTACCGTCATGGGCATACCAAGTGTAACCACAAATCTATCTGGTTTCGGTTGCTTCATGCAGGAACACATCAGCGATCCAAAATCGTATGGCATCTACATTGTCGATCGTCGTTATATTGGCCTAGAGAACAGCGTGCAGCAGCTGACGAATTTCATGATGGAGTTCTCCCGCTTAAATCGTCGCCAGCGCATTATTCAGCGTAATCGCACAGAGCGCCTCAGCGATTTGCTTGATTGGCGTACACTGGGCATTGTATGTATTCAAATAATACCATTGCTCGACACAGCTGTCCATATCTGTATTTTTGTCTCTATGTCTGCAGTATTACAGACAGGCTAGGGTGAAGGCCTTGCAGGCTGTCTATCCTGATTATGTGGACGAAAGCACCTTGTATGGCTCTCGCAACAATCTAATCTTCTCTCGTCCACACAGCGAGCCGCCAAGTCCTAGTTCATCGCGTAAGTCCCAATAAATCATTTAAGGTGGATTGATAAAAAAAAAACTCGCTTGCGCTTTCATATTGATTTGATTGCACAATGGGTAGGTTTAGGTGACTTTCAAATATCATTGAGCGTTGTCAACTTTGTTGAGTTTTGATACTTTTCTTTACTTAAAGTATATATCATATCAAAACCACTTGATTATAAATTAGATATTATTATATTATATATACGTAAATAATACTATTCTTCGTCTATATTAAATATAGGGCATACCACACCCGCACCTTCGGTGCACGGCTCCGATGAGGAGGACTCTGTGGATGAGGAAACTGAGTTGAAGGAACTGGGAATGAAGTAAACCAAACCCAATTCCTGGTCGTCAGCAACTGGCTTTACGAACAATTCATACAGCGCAATATTACCATAAGTTTAGTAATTTCACATGTTCAAAGGGCACGCTGTACTCCATGAGACGACAATGCCCACACGAAGAAACTGTCTACCTAATGCCTCAACTGTTTTTCTTAAACAAATTTATACGCTCATATGCAACAGCTAGAACAATTCGAGAATATTTATGCAAAATGAGAAGATTCTATTTAATGTTGTTTAGTCTTTAAGCAGATATGAGTCCCACACACAAACAAAATGTTATCAAAACCAATTAAATTATTATTACTATGGTACACAGATACACAGAAATCTCTTGACCTCACATTATGTAATTGCAAGGCCTATCTGCAACTCGTGGCACACTGGCATCTGGCAATTCGGAAAGTTATTTGCACTTTATTGAAATACATATATATTTGACAAAGAACGTATTGAACTATAAATTAAATGAGTTACGCTTACCGTTTAGGGAAATTCCCTTAAGTTACGCCCAATTAGTAACGTATGATATACTGCCTCATATTGCATCAACAATTTTTATAAATGGGCTACATACATTATAAAAACGAACATAATAAAGTTGAGCAAAACCGAAACATATTCATATTATCGACTTGCAGATAACCTGAACGACAGAAGATCACGGGTTCTTTTTATACGTACTTTTATAATCAAATTGATATAAATAACACTCAACATCGGCGAGCATCGAAACCACATCTCTATCAATGAATAATTTGCAAATCCTAAACTATGTCGCTGTAAGAGCAACCCTAATCTAGTCACATCTAATCTTAAACAAAAATTTAATTGCAATTCTTAAGAATATGATAATGTGATCTATATTTTCTACTAAAATGAAAAGAGTTCAGCGAAATTTGACACCGGTTTGACAAAATTCAAAATTCTATTAGATTAGCGTTAAAGTAAATGCCAACTTTTAAGACTCTAGCTCCAAGGACGTACGAGATGAGTATATATAAAGAATGTATATTTCCGTTTTGATAAGATTTCTAAACGACAACATTAATCATACTTGAAAAATTTCTCAAATTCTGATATCGACGGATTCATACAAACGGACACACGGACTGTGCTGAATCAACTCAGCTGGTCGTCCTGATCAAGAATTTATACAAGGACATACATACATTTTAGCATTTTCAATTTCCGAATTTTCCAATTTTGTGTTTGGAGTGCTTGCACGCAGCAATATAATCATAATCGATTTTCGCAAATTGCGAAATATTGATAAAGTTAAGGGATCTGACTCAATAGAAGCAGCACTTTATCATTGGTTCTGCATTAGTCATGTATGTATGTTGATGACATTGCTACGTGTTGAAGTCGCTGACGATGTGTCACATCCGAGACAGTGGTTGACGAACGCCTCGGAGGACGAGCATTTTACATAACAACCAAAACCTTTATTGTATGCGAAATGCAGCCGTGTAAAACAACAAAATAGGTGTATTTTTGTCACTATTTTCAAGAAACTGGAACGAAATGATTTTCTTGACAGAGGGTCCACTGTAGTAGCTTTTATATTATTACGCAACTATTCTTGAAATTGGATTTGCTATCTCGAAAAAAAAAACAGTTAATTTTATTGTACAGCCATAAAACTCTTTCAACTTGTTGGTTCTGAAATCGACGATACTCTCTTTCTACTCTCGTCGCCCTGATTAAGAAGACTTTACTTTGCACTTTATAGGATTTGCCACACCTTCTTTTGCCTGTATCACTGACCACGAATAACCATAGAAACGCTTACATTTTGTTTGCATGAGCGTGACAAACGCGTTTATGATTTAGGTATGCCCTTCACTCAAAAGGTAAGAGCTGGGATCATCGCGAACAAAATTCAATTTTTGTGCGCTGCTGAGTTCGGTGATTTGAGAGACCAAAGAGAGAGATAGAGTGAGAGAGAGAGAGTAGGCAAATAGTGCATAGCCGTGCTTCATATAAGAATGAGACCGTTTCTTTTGACCGCTTGCAGCGCACCGACTTTGTCGCGCAATATTTCCCCTGATCTAGCCTCAAGAGACTGAGCCGAGCAAATACGAAGTTGACTAGTATCTAATGCACAGTTTTTCTTTGGTCAGTGCCTGTATATTTTAACACCATCATTCTAGCCGGATCGCCCATTCTCAAAATACCAACACTGAAAAATAAAGTTTTTTATTTATTGTCATAGACTAATTTTCCGAATTCAAGCATTAATAAAATCTAAATTGGTGGTTATCTTCTCAATATAAGCTTTGTGACCTCCTGTTAGGCACGACGACTGTAAAGGGAACGAATAAACTTGCCATGACGGCGTCGTCGGCGTTGGGCAGCTACATTGTAGTCAGGATAATTGTTCCGCTCTAAGTGTGCTGGGGGCAATTGGCCATCCTTACAGTTCACCAATTCTCCACTAGGATCCATGCATTTCTCTGACTTCAGAACCCAGCCACTGTCTCTGTCTCCATCTTCAATATCCTGATCATCGTGTTCCCAATCCTGCTCCTGCTGCGGATATGTGTATTGATCTTCTTCGTCAGGTTGTGATTCACGCTGTGGCCGATAATTGTAGTCAAAAATGGGACCGAAATAGTGTGGGTAGATCACAGGCTGTGGCATCAGCACAGCCTGTGACATATAGCTTGGAAAGCAACCCATGCACTCTAGTGGGATGCCACTCTGCAGGACATAGCCATAGGCCAGATTCTGACATTTCAGACAGTTGTCGAGTCTCGGTCGCGCGCTGTTAATATTCTGACCACAGGAGTTTGTGTAGTAACATCCTTGGGATTGTGTTTGTGGCTGGTTGTTGGGCAAAAATGGGAAACTGGTGCGTTTTATCGACTTGCGCCGCTGCATGGGCACATACTGCACCGTCTCGTGGCACTCTTCTGGCTGGTCCTGCTCGCATTGCAGCACGCGTTTGGCATGCATCACTCGCGCACGGCATCGTGCGCCACAGACGCGATGTCGTGAGCGCTCCTGGCAGTGCTCCAGGTGCTCACAACTGCGGTCACGTTGCACCACATAGCAGCAGGAGCCCTGCTCATTGTAGCCAAGACCGAACCGGCCGCCCACCGTGGACACATTCTGATGCACCTGGACATTTATCTCATTCCGACCCTTGATATCGTTCTTGATAATGTTTGTGATCTCATTCGTTAGCTTGATGATGTTGGTGGTATTCAGCGGGGGTTGAGCAGGTGCCACGTAGCTGGTATCATTGATGCCGTGTACTAGGAGTGGCTCTTCCGTCAGCTCCGGGCAGAGGGGGCACTCTAGCTCGCACTTTTCACTGCCAGCGCAGATATCCAAGCAGCTCTGTCGATTCGATTGACACTCCTTGTAGTCGCGCAGCGAGGGCTTTTCATAGTTTTGGAGCTTCGTTTGTATCACAATCGTGTCCTTGACGGTTGATGGTTCCTTTGCGTCCTCGGCACTAACCACGCCGCCAACAGCCAGCAACAGCAGCAGAGCCCATGACTAATAAATTAATATCAATTATATGAGATACGGATTGCACCTATCAAATGTAGTTCAAAAATTTCTTCAGCTTTTGCAGCTCACCTTCATTTTCAGGAATGATTCGAAAAGTCTAAGTATGAATATGTCAAAGAGAACTTTATTTCCTGGTTCGTTTAACAGCTGAGAACTCACTTACTTTACTGTAGAATTGCCTCGCTATGCAGTCACTATTAACCAAGTTTAGATTAGATATCGTTATCTTTCAAAATTTATTGATTTGAGCGTCACGGTGAACGAGAGAGAGAGAGAGAGAGAGAGAGAGAGAGACAGAGAACGCGGGAGATAGAGAGAGAGCGACTTTTTCGGCAGCTCCCATACATTCATTATTAATATTCCTGCAACAAAACATCTTGTACATACACATACCTATAAATATTATTTGCACGTTTGTAGCATGCATTTTAATTAATTAAACAAACTCTGACCGATTCATTGCATTTACTTAATAGCTATAATCCCCAATATCAGTGAGTAGATTGATGGTGGTAAAAGACTGCCTGTCGATGGTATGCTTTTCTCATTTTTTATTAAAGGTGAGCATTCAATTTGTGGATCGTATTTAGGAGACGATCTAATTCAGAGAGCTAAAATTCGACTGTGGACTTTCGTCCTAGAAAACGTATTTATGATTCCCTCGTTAGCAGTTTTTGGAATTAAAAAAAAAAAACTGTTTTGAATATATTATTATAATATATAA